AGGCCGAATTCTCGGTTTAGAAAATAAATTTCCATCTTTAACACCCCTACAGCCGAGAACTATAGATATAGACATGGTTAAGAGTATGAAAATGGTAAGGAGACGGCGAGACAGGAACTTTGATTTAATGATTTATAACCAAGTGTTCTCAGATTTTATTCTGTCAAACCCTGCTCGCACAGATGTGGGTAACCATGGTAATTATTGTTATATTGATAACCCAGTCCCCGCGCACATTCCAGAGAGTGTTGCTGCTGGCGGGGACAATACTAACGCACCTTCATACACTACACGTGTCGCTTCTGAAAATGTTACAGGTACATCCTCAAGGCGCAGACCGAGAAGAAGTGAAGACACACCCGTCAATCTCGACTAAATATATGCTGAGATGCTATGACAGAGCGAATTAGACGCTCAGCGAGATCAAAGAATTCAGAGCATTGAAGCTCAGCAAACCGAGATGATGCAGATTCTTCGACAGATGCAAAGCGAACAAAACAGCATGTCAGGCTTGATCGCAGAGACGACAAATTTATCAGTACGTGTGGAAAATCCTGAAGATCCACCTAACCACCCTGGAAATGGTATGCGGACACGAACTCGCGGCAGAGGCCGCAGATAGGAGAATACTCCGGTTCTACCTTCCTTTCTTACCTTAATCTGTTTCATTGGGGACAATGCTCGATTTAAGTGCGGGAGAGGAAGCTTTACCGCTTTTATTTATTGTTTTCCCTTTTATTTACTTTTTTCTAGGTAGATTTTAAAATTTTGATTTTCTGCTTAATCTTTTTGTTTTAGTGTTAATAAAATCAAATTCATGTACTGTCGAGTCATTATACATAGTTTTCGTCATTTATCAGATTCTCCCAAATTCTTGAGCCATAACAAAAAAAAATTAATTTTGGTTTAAAGCATGACACATACCTAGAAAGTATATTTCTTGATTTAGACTAAGTCCGAGAGATTTGGGAAAATATTGATAATATCGGTACCGTCTTGACACCCTGAAACCCCTGAATTTGCTGATGAATTTGAATACTTATTATGCCAAAGCCTTAAATTTTAGAGTAACCTCTTGATTAGTTTATACTAGCAGTAAGCACCATCCTGAAGCACAACCTAAGTAATAAACCGATGCAAATACGTGTTTGATCTCAAAAATATAAACATAATAGAATTATTGGAAAAAGTGAATGAAAGATATGCTCTTACTAAGTTAGGTGGTCCTTACCCGACCATTTAGCCCAACGGATCAGACTCTTGAAATTCAAAAATTCACAAGAAAAAGAATGTGAAAAGGTTTTGAAAAAGAGATCAATGAACACTAACAGGTTTACTTACCATGGGCGTGCAGGGATAACGTGCTTAATGTGATTGCGCGAGAATGAAAAAGAGGTGAAAATGAATAGGCTGAGTTATAATAATATGATTCGAACTTGTCTGCATAGAGAGGGAGTTTTTGACTGCAAGCAATAATTTTGTGTCATTACGGTATCCTTAGTATTTCTATCCAGTACCTATCTTTCATACGAAAGCTTCGCAATAATGTATGATATGCGTTATGTTATGTTAAGATCCATGCCTAATATATTTTATTTGCGTGAGGACAAACAAAGGTTCAAGTGTGGGAGAGTTTGATAACGTGAAATTATATCGTATATTTGACTTGACTTACATGAATTTTATCTACAATTATCGATGTTTTATCTGATTTATCTTCTATTACGCATCTATTTTCTTATGTTTTGTAGGTTATCAAAAATATGGATTACAGAAATAAAAGAAGAAAGAAATGAAGGAAATGGAAAGAAAAGAGGAAGAAAAGAGGAAGGAAAGAAAAGAAGAAAAAAGAAAGAGAAAAGAAAGAAAGAAAAAAAGGGTGGAGGCCACCACACACCAAGTGGCACTAGCCACTTGTGCGTGGCGCCTGCCACCATGTAAAGACAAGGAAGTGTGGTGCCTGCCACCTTCGAAAGAGTGAGGGGAGTGGCGAGTGTCACTCCTAAAAGAAAGGGAAGTGGTGTGTGCCACTTCCTCCCTACATTTTCTCCATTCCTCCCTGTATTTTCTCCGATCTTCACTCCATGTTTTAGCCTAAGATCTTGGGTAACCGTCGCCACTAACAACTATAAAAGCCACATACGGTTTTGGAAACGGGGGTCACTTTTGATTTCTATTTTCGTATTATTTTTCTTTAGCATTTTTGTTCTTAGTTTTTAAGCACTTTTTAGAGAAATTTTGTATAAGGAAATTGATTTTTCACACTGATAAACAATTTCCAGTTAGTATTAGGGTTGATTTACGGGTTATAACTTTGTACTTAACTGCAAGTCGGCCTACATAATCCAATCCAAGTGCTTTTCTGTTCTTCGTAGTTGCTAGGTTCCATTTATTTATTGTTATTGTTATCGTTATTTTTATGCATTCCTTTTATTTTCTATCTAGCATTAAGATTAGATTTTGTAATAGCATGCAAGTCATGTCTGGCTAAACCTTTTAATATCAGCATGTAATTACAAACGGTCGGAAGGGGTTAAGTAAATCATGGCGTGAATTTAACAAATCTATTCTTCTGGTCTCAGTTTCTTTTTAATAACTTAACAACTTTTGTTACAAGAGTAAAAAGGTAACGAAGGTTAAGATCAATAAAGCGAGAGTTTGAGGTCTTAACCAGATAGCTGAAACTGAACATTAGTCTTAAATACAGCGAGAGCACTTTAGAGTTAATTAGGATCTACTTAATTAGGACCTACTTAATTTTAAAACAAGTTTTTAATACAAATGAGAGAGCGAGAGTCTTCATTCTGATTTGAGAGTATAGTCTAAGTCAATAAACACGAGAGTGTGAGATAAAGTCTTTTAAATGAGTATTTTCTACAGAATAACATTTTTTCTCTTTTTAAACTAAACACCCATGAATTACTAAACCCCCGATGATTGATAGGATTATATACCGATATTTCGCATTATCTTGATTTAAATTATATTTCATTCTGCACTTATTTTCTTACTCGCACCCCAAATTTAGAAATCCATTAGCCTTAGATTTACGTAGTAGCACTAGATAACGGTAGATCGATTCTTAGTCCTTTGGGTTCGATAATCTTTAAAACTACGCGATCCGACTGTGCACTTACAGTCACGAATCATTTAGACAGACTAAGTCGCGATCAAAGAGGCAGGACTACATATGACGGACAGGCCTCCCCGCGAGCTCATGTCTGGTCGAGCAATTTCCTTATCTTGGTCACGCGCTTTGTCCCCGCGTCCAGTGTTTCGGACATGCACGACACTCCTCCGGATAGGTCCTCGACGTTTGAACTGAGTCTTAAGTCATTACTCCTCTGCTTCAGAGCAACGACTTAGAGGGCTCCTGTTTTGGACTGGGACAGAGGCTGGCCCACCGTCGGGCAAGACTCAACCCAGCTCCCCGTCGGGGAGGGCCCAATCCTCCAACGTCCACAGGGAGCTCTCACACGTCTCCCCAATGGCCTCCACGTGCCCCCCACGCGGGGACACGTTAGCAGGCAACTACACACCTTCTGAGGATCACGGGGCAGTTGACCTAGGACGAAAACCACGTGTTGGTCTTCCTTATGCCATGTAAGTCTGACAGTTACTCATTGTGGGCCTTGCAATCCAACCCAGTGGAAAGTAACTGTTGGCCTAGCGTTGGGGGCACATTATAAATATCTTTTCACTAGAGGGTCAGGTATTCAATTCTCTGCACACTTTCTCTGTACTTACTCTTTCTACTTCGTCTCTTACTTTGACATCGAAGTACCTTGCAGGTACACCGTCGTCCTCTTCTCCACCACCGACGAATTAAGGGGCTTACGACGTGTTGCTGGCTGCTGATCCTTTTCTAATCCGGTAATATCAAAAAGTAATATTATATTATCTTATACAAAAATGTCTTTTACGTTACAATGTGGATCTTATTTATAGTACATGACCAATGAATAACCATTAACTTAAGAAATCACAAAAGTTAGAAAATTAACTCATAAAATCTAAAAAGTATAATAAGTTGAATAAATGAACATCCACGTCTATTTCCTTATTATTCATAACATTCTTCACATTATAAAAGAGCTGCATCCTCAACTATTTTGTAGATAATAATATGTAAATAATCTATTATTCCCTCATTTTATAAAATTAAAATATAAATTTTAAGTGGGACCTTTTAATTATTATGTCTATACCACTATATGAATATATGGTTTTATCTTATTAGGATTTAATTTTCTAAAATTAAAAATGCTTAGTATATCTTATTGGGATATTTATTTTCTAAAATTTAAAATGCTTACATTTCCTAAAATTAGACAAAAAAGATTAGATCCTAACAACAACATTACAAGAAAGGCAAATACACACAAAAATACATTCTCTCGCTTGAGAAATATTTGCCAAATATAAAAAATCCAAAATGATGAGAATCCGATCCTATGCTATCCTAGGTTGTCTCTGTTTGTTTATAGTATCTTATTCCGTTGCTACTACTAAGGATAGACAAGTACACCAACGGCCACTAACTGTCCCTTTGATTACATAATATAAATAAATAGCTTTGTTTGTTCATTTGTCGTTATATTTGTTACTTTCTTCTTCTTCTTGTTCAATTAAGATCGACGAGCGTTTCTTTTTGTTTGTTTGAGTAGGTACTGTTTGTTCTTAGGGCGGTTTTCGGTTTTACATCGAAAACCGCTCTACCCAATAATTTGTTATTACACGCTTCGTCGATCAATCCTATTACCATGAAAGAGTTCTAGCCATTCATGTCTAGTGTCCTCCAAGAGATTCAGGCCTTCTTCCTCCCCCTCCTCCATCAACCTCTTTTCTTTTGCATTATATCTATCTTTTGCTTGATTCGATATATATGTACATTAACTTTCCAAAAAGTTCATGTTTTGTGGAATTTCCTTCCTCCTCCAAGAGATTCATTTTTGAATGTCAATATTTTGATCATAATTGGTGGTGGAAGGGAAATAAAAATGGGTGGAAGAATAAATGGGTTTGATTGGGTGAAGGGTAAAATTGTTGGAACTGGATCTTTTGGAAGTGTCCATCTAGCCATGAACAAATCAACCGGCGGACTTTTCGTAGCCAAAACAGCGAATTCAGATGCAGGACGTGATGCTCTCCAGAACGAGGTGAATATTCTTAATACATTAAAGAATTCGTCGTCGCAGTCACCGTCGCCCTATATTATACAATGTTTAGGGTCAGAGTATGATCATCAAGATAATAATAAGCTGCACGTTTTCATGGAGTATATGGCTGGAGGTAGTTTGGCCGACGCATTACACAATTTTGGTGGTTCATTCGATGAACATGTTGTTCGTTTGTATACTAGACAGATCTTGCTTGGGTTATATCATCTTCACCAACAAGGAATTGTGCATTGCGACCTCAAATGCAAAAACGTGCTTTTGTCCTCGTCTGGGACAGTTAAGCTCGCAGATTTTGGATTTGCAAAAAGGATCAGCAAGGACTCGAGCACGGACAAATCACCGTCGTCTGTTATTAATAACGGGGGCACTCCTCTATGGATGGCTCCTGAAGTATTATTAGCGACGAATGTTAAAGATGAGAGGGCGGTTGATTTTGCAGCAGCTGACATATGGTCTTTGGGATGTACTGTTATTGAAATGGCCACCGGTAGGCCTCCTTGGGTTCATGATGATCTCGTTTCTATTTCGAATCCAATGTCTGCTATGTTTAAGATTGCATGTGGTGATGGGATACCTCAATTTCCAAGTCATTTCTCTCAGGAGGGTTTCGATTTCTTGAGGAAATGTTTGGCGAGAGATCCCAATAAGAGGTCTACCGCAAAGGACTTACTTAATCATCCATTCCTTGTTGCAAATACTTTAACTTATCACAAACGCTACTGTAATTCCTCACCAGCAGCTGTCTTGGATGTTCATCAATTTGAGGATGATTATGACGGCGACGATGAATCATATGATTATGAAGAAAAATTGCCAAGTCCAGAAGGGAGGAATAAACTCTTGATGGGAAATGACTTTGTGTCCCCACAAGGAAAAACAATATGGCAACAGGAAGACAGTGCATCAGGGAATCATTGGATTACCATTAGATCAAGGTGATCAATTAAGTAGGGCATGGAGGTCTGATAATTAATTCATGTAGATTAATACAGGACTCAACATGTAGAGATTTTGAGTAGGATGCAAATACTTATAGATTTCTCAAAGTTTTCAAAGTTTTGCCTCCTTTTTAGGAATGGTCTTATTAGTACCATCAAATTTGTAGTTAAAAGGTTAAATCGATAGAATCGTGTAACTAGACTCAATAATTGATTGCCAAACAACAATGATTCTGCTTCTTTGTTATCAACACAGTTGAATTAAAATAAAGAACCAGTTAACAATTTCTTTTTAAAATGGAGCAATTGTCATTGCCTGGAATATAAGGTATAAATTTACAATCAAACCGCAAATACACCTAACATAGATTTGAATGGGACATTTGTATTGATTATACCTAATATCAAAATACTGATTAGAATAATTATCTCCTCTAATGATTGACCATGGCAGAAAGACTGCAAATAATACAAGTATGCATTTCAACAATGAACAAATTTCCTATACAGTTTGTACATAACCGAATCCTTGTGACAGAATGCAATTTGGCTTATGCCATTCTAAGAAACTTTACCAAAGAATAATTTGAAACAACACCCCACCTTGAGGAAGGGGGAACGACAAAATCTAATTGCCATACTCAAATATTTTACAGTACCTCCCATTCATCGTAGCACACATTGCCAGAGCATTCATCATAGATTCCTATTAATGGTAGAAATATCTCTGGCACATTGTAATGAAATCGGTTGCTCTCTTATGCGAGACAGAAGAATGGAAACTTGTTCTGTAGCAACATCTAATCGTTCTTTAGACTTGGCAGATTCTGTAACTAGAGATGAGACCATGTTTTGGAATAACTTTACTCTTTCGGCATGATCACTGGATGCATTTTGAAGAAGCCTTGAAGAAGGCACGCTGATACGACGCCATCGGATGGGAAGATATGTATCCGGGATCTGAAAGCAATTTCCTGTTGAAAGAACTCTCAGAGAGTGCCTACACAAAATTCCAGAAAATTCAAACTGGTGACAGCTGCAGCTTATAACTCCTTCTTGAGAGGACCAATACACTTTGCGACCTCCGTCAACTTTTGTGTGATGTCTCACAAGAAACCCGTCTTCCACTGAAAAAGATGCATAATGTGCAGCCAACACAAGTTGCTCTTGAAGCTTTGAAAAGGCAAAAGGAGTGAGGACCGTAGCGGCGTGCGATTCCATGGGAGCTCCTGTTTTGAGGCAAACATTTTGTAGATTCTGCTGCATGGTTTGTTGTTCTCCAGTTTGATCTTTAAAATCCACAGCAACAGCTACCTGGTTGTGCAAAGCAAACTCAAGTTTACAGAAATATAAAGATTTAATTTAATACCTCCAAAAAGTAGGATACAATTTCCTATGAAATTTTGAATAGTCATTAAAAGTCCAATTTAACAATATTAAAACATTTGAGACAGAGAGATATAATACCTGTTCAACAAAGTGAGCAAGTCGTGTCTGTGCGCTTAAGAACCGTTGAATGAAGGCATTAATTGACTTTGACTGACCAGTTGTAGTCATTCCCGCAAGAAAATGGCTTCTTAAATATGGCAATGCCCAAAGTGAGCGCGAGCTATATAAAGTAAGCATGTGCCGATTGGAATGCAGCCCAAAAGAACAGACCATTTCCCTCCAGCCTAGTTCAAAATCATCCACAGATTCAAGATTATAAAGTCTATAAAATTCAGCCTTCCACTCATTGTAGCGTTCCCCTAGAACAGCATTGAACCAAGATGGAAACTTTGCTACTATCATCCATATGCAGAAAGCATGTTTTGTTATCGGCATTTCTGCAGATAGTGCTTCTTTGAGACACATGTTTTGGTCAGTTAATATAGTCTGTGGAGCCTTCCCATTCATAAAACCTAAGAAAGCCTTCCAAGAAGGAGAGAAAATAAAAACAAAAACCAGTGTAAATTAAAGAATGGTTGAACTTTTAAAAAATCAATGAAAGTTTCACGAGGCAGTAAAAGTAAATGATGTAATTATCCTCATTTGAGGTATCTTGTATACATTTCCAAAGTGTAGCCTACCACTCAATAAGTAACACTTAGTATATCCTAGACAGTGCGGTATTTTTCATAGCTACACAATCTTTGATATAAAATTTGTTGTCATGTTACAATTAAGCCAGGCCGGTATTATTTCAGAGGCGAAAACACAATTCGAATGAAAAACCAAATGATGCAAACGATAATAAGTTTTTGACTAACTACCTTTATTGCCCAGGAAAATGACCTGACAGTTTCATCTCGCAGTAGCACACAGCCAAAGAAGCAGGGCATTCCATAATTGTTTATTCCAACCCATATCCCGAGTGGCATGTCAAATGCAGTCAGACGATGGGTTGTATCAAATACCACAGCATCCCCAAAGATATCATACAATTGGATCGAAGAGGCATACGACCAGGCAATATTCTCTAAATGGTTGTTTGCATCCAGTGTGTACTCAAATTTAAAATTAGGATCTTTGTCCTTAATATTTCTGCACATTTTTAACAAATCTAGGCTTTCTTCTTCGGGATCTAATTTTCTAAACGACTGGAGTAAATTCCTTACATCCTTTTCAGTAAAAGGCAAATATCCAGGTTCGACGCACTTCTCAAGCTCCATAAGCCTCATCATTTGATGAACAGAAATCCCTGTTTTGGCAAACATAAGGATTCGATTTTTGTCAGAATCTGATATGGTTCTGTACGCAGGAAGGAACCGAACTTGGTTAGGTTCCAAAAGTTCGTGATTATGATGATTAGCAAAACCAGTGACCCGCCATTCAGGAGGTCCAAATTCCGTAGTTTTGCTTATCCTCATATAAGCCTGACAGCCACATCGCGAAGATTTTCTATTTCTTTGAGGCTTACTTTCGGTTGAGGATTTAGCAGGAGTATTGCCGGCACGATGACAAACGAAGTAGCGTCTAGTAAGTCCTTTCCCAACACCGTCTTTTCCCTCGGTACGGTGGCGCCTAATTGAGAAGCCAGACCTCTTGGCAAAATCAGTATAGAAATCATAAGCTGAATCGTGAGTGGGAAACCTCTGACCAATGTATGGAATGTCATCATTAATTGGTTCCAAGTTGAGTCTGGTTTCGGCAGGTGACTCCTCAGTGCTACTTGTATCACCCAGAGACAGGGAGTGTTGGTCAGAGGGATCGTCGTAAACAACCAACATGGATCCAGCCTCTTCAGACATGATATGTTTTATCCAGTAGAAAAACAAAGCGAAGAAGAATTATCTGGCAGAAAACAATTAAGAGTGAATATACATTTGTCTCGTGAAATTGCGTAATCAAAGTAAAGGGAGAATTTTGTATAATGTATAATAACATAAAAGCAGTTCGAAAGAAGAAGAAAATGGTACCTTGGACGATAGAGTGAATGGGAAGCAAAGTGTGGAGGGAAACCCTAACAGCACCACGCTCGCAGACGCAGGAACTAAATCATCTATTGGGTTTTACTTTCCTGCTTAAACGCACCGTTTTCTTTTAGATAAATCCACTTCTCAATCATTTTACTATTTTACTACTCAACCAAACTATCTTTTTTACCGCGCCAACGTATCATACAAAATTCATTCTTTTTTATTTTACATTTTTTTTATTTTTTATTTTTAAAATTATATTTTTTACAAATAAATTTCTGATTTTTTTTCTTCTTTTTCTAATTTCTTATTGATTCAAATTCAAAAAATTTAATATATATATATATATATATATATATATATATATATATATATATATATATATATATATATATATTAAAAGCATTGAACTAATTAGAAATAAATAAATATATATATATATATATATATATATATATATATATATATATATATATATATATATATATATATATATATATATATTCTTAACTAGAACTATAAAACCAATATTATCATCTCATCAAAATTATAAAACAATAGTCCGGTTTACAAAGAGAACCAAACAAACCAAACAATAACATATATTTATGTCATCAAGTATAAAAACAATAGTATATAAAGATTAATAATTGCAAAACCTATTTTGTAGCCATAAGTTATAACGAACAAAGACGAGATCATTAAGTTTTTGATGCTTCAACATATTTCTTTTTTTTAATGAATATGCTCAAACACACTCCAATTTCGTTCACAGACAGATGCACTACAAGTTTGGCTCAAAATCCGAATAGCCAGTTTTTACAAATTGGGCAATTCGGTTCCATAAGTTTCCCACCATTGATCTAGAATAATGCATGTGAAAAAATTTAAAAATGTTTTAAAATACATATTGACATTGTACTAAAATGCATAAATTTTATCATATAATTTTAATTGGAAAAACTTCATCTCGGTTTTCTACTGCAGTTGTCCTTTCAATACTACCTCTCAATTTTTTAATGAAGTGCAGGTTAAAAATAAGGCAAACTTGTAGCATTGAAAGGAATAAATGCATCAATAAACCACTTTGTAATGGCAAGATCACACTTTTTTACCACTTCTTTACCTTGCATTACTTTTTTTTAAAATAGGTTGAGCTCCCGTAATTGTTCTAGGTAAAAAATAAGTACCAATACGAGCGTCATTCTTTTTAGACGCACCAATTCATGGGTTTGTTTGTACTTGCAATTCAACCCCCCCCCCCCCCCCCCCCCATCCGCAATAAATGACTCGCTTTCAGCTACATCTAAAAAATTTCTTTTCTTGTTCCGCTCATTAAAATATTGTTTCATCTGAAAACGAATTTCTGCAGGCACTGACATACAAATTTCAAAATTTCCTACTGCTCCAACCAAGTGTTGTTTTACCCCATAAATTCCACCTCCTCCAAAAGCTTTATGACAGTAGATACAAACAAGACATTTTTCATCAGGACTTTTAGTACAATGTGCTCAAGCTATATCAGTATTTCCGCTAACATTATTTTAAACTAAACTATGAATCGGAGAGGCTTCTTGTGATGGTGGTTGTAATGATGGTGTTT